TCCCCGGAGGACAATCCCGTGACCTCCGCCCACCTGGGAGGCCCACCGAGACCCCCAGGCCGGTCAGGGCAGCCCACGACTCCCAGGAGCCGCCATCTCCTGTAGCACAAAGAACACGGGACATTGCCCTGCCCCTCCCAGCCACTGGCCTGAAGCAGGGATGCCGGTTTTCCTTCTCAAAAAGGAGTAGAGAATGTTTTAGAGAGACAGAAAACATTCTTGCCATTTTTTCAGGCCATTATGTCTGTCACATACTCCTCTCACTTTACAAAGCTGAGGCAGGAGGATCCCTTAAGGCTGGGAGTTAGAGAGACCAGACTGGGCAATATATTGAGACCCCCATCTCTACAAAAAAAATTAGCCAGGGGTGGGTGGTGTCGCGCACCTGTAGTCCCAGTTACTAGAGGGGCCAATGCAGGAGGATGGCATGAGCCCAGGAATTCGAGGGAGCCATGATCGGGCCACTGGACTCTAGCCTGGGCGACAGAGGGAGACCCCTATCTCAAAAAACAAAACAAAACAACAAAATACTACAGCCATCCAAGCAGTTTATGACTAGAGACAGAATAGAGAAAGTGGAAATGCGCCCAAATACATATTAGAATCTAGTACACAACAAAGACATTTTATTTTTTGTTTATCTATTTATTTTTTTTTGAGACAGAGTCTCACTTTGTTGCCCAGGCTAGAGTGAGTGCCGTGGCGTCAGCCTAGCTCACAGCAACCTCAAACTCCTGGGCTCGAGTGATCCTTCTGCCTCAGCCTCCCAAGTAGCTGGGACTACAGGCATGCGCCACCATGCCCGGCTAATTTTTTGTATATATATTTTTAGTTGGTCAATTAATTTCTTTCTATTTTTAGTAGAGATGGGGTCTTGCTCTTGCTCAGGCTGGTTTCGAACTCCTGACCTCGAGCAATCCACCTGCCTCGGCCTCCCAGAGTGCTAGGATTACAGGCGTGAGCCACCACGCCGGCCAGCAAAATGCTTCTCTAAAGCAATAAAAGACAACCCTATAAAAAAATCCTACAAAAATTGGAACAGGTAGTTCATAGAAAGAGAAACATAAATGACCTACAAAAATATGAAACATTCATCAGACCCCCTCAGAATAAATTAAAATAAGACACCATTTCTACCTATTGGATTATTACCACCACCATTGCAAAAAAAAAAAAAAAAAAAAAAAAAGAAAGAAAGAAAGAAAGCCTGCTAAAACCCAGTCTAGGCAACTGTTTGAGAGACACTGTTAGAACAACTGTAAACTGCATGTCTCACGTCTCTTCAGAGGATAATTTGACATTACTATATACATCCCATTAGAAATGTTGGGGAGGCCGGGCGCTGTGACTCACGCCTGTAATCCTAGCTCTTGGGAGGCCGAGGCGGGCGGATTGCTCAAGGTCAGGAGTTCAAAACCAGCCTGAGCAAGAGCGAGACCCCGTCTCTACTATAAATAGAAAGAAATCAATTGGCCAACTGATATATATATATATAAAAAATTAGCCGGGCATGGTGGCGCATGCCTGTAGTCCCAGCTACTTGGGAGGCTGAGGCAGAAGGATCACTCGAGCCCAGGAGTTTGAGGTTGCTGTGAGCTAGGCTGACGCCACGGCACTCACTCTAGCCTGGGCAACAAAGTGAGACTCTGTCTCAAAAAAAAAAAAAAAAAAAAAGAAATGTTGGGGAACTTATCTCCTGGATACACTCACAGAAGTACCAAAAACATTGCACAATATTCATCGCAACCTTATTTTAACTAGCAAAAATACCAAAAACAAATGAAAGTCCAGCAATAAGGACTGGTTAAATAAATTATGGAAATCTATATAACATGATACTAGTGAGGCATTGAAAGAATAAGATTTATCTCTATGAGTGGAAGTAGAAAAAGTTACTGAGATATATTGATTAAGTGGAAAGAAATTGCCGGAACAGTATATTACTGTACAATGTACTGTATTATTTTACAATAATTGTATAACATATATTATTATATTGTATAATGTACTATATAATGTATATTACATTATTGTATGAGTTATATAATATTGTACAATATGATGTATTGTATATTATTGTACACATATTATATAATAATTATATTATTATATATTATTATGTAATGTATATTTTATATCTTATAATTAGATAACAGTACTTATCAGTACTATATAGTATGTAACTTATATTATTATGTAACATACATATATAGTGTATATTTATATATTAAATATTTGCATATATACACAAAACATTTAATAGTGGATACCTCTGGAAAGTCCAAACACAGGGATTAGGGGTTAGTAGAGAAGGACATTTAACTTTTCACTTTACACTCTTTTGTAATATCTGAAAATGTTTTTTTTGAGACAGTCTCACTCTGCAGCCCAGGCTAGAGTGCAGTGGCGTGGCGTCATCACAGCTCACTGCAACTACAAATTCTTGGGCTCAAGCAATCCTCCTGCCTCAGCCTCCCGAGTAGCTGAAACTACAAGTGTGCACCACTTGTCTCTATTTTTCTCTAGAGACGGGCTCTCACTCTTGCTCAGGCTGGTCTGGAACTCCTGGCCTCAAGCGATCCTCCTGCTTTAGCCTCCCAGAGTGCTGGGATTACAGCCCTGAGCCACTGTGCTGGGCTACCTGAAATTTCTTTTAACATTATTATTTTTACGATAATAAATCTTTTTTTTTTCTAAACTGATAATTAATATGGGCTACAATGATAAACCTTAAATTCCAAAGCCCAAATCTGTACCCTGAAGAAATCCATCTTTATGAAGTGCCAAGCTGACTTTTCCAAGCTCTTAGCTTTACACGGTAAGGTGTGTTCCAAGTCATGTCTGAGGACATTTCCACCCTCCAGGACCCCACCTGACCCCTCTCTGGCCTCAGGCCCTGCCTAGAATTTCTCTGTAAATAAGGGGCCTCAGCACCCGTCTCTGGGGAGACACTGTCAGTAAGGAAACCAGACTGGGACATGAGTCTCCATCAGTCATCTTGACTAATGCCCCACATAGCTAGCCTACAAAAGAATTAAAATTGATGTTAAATATATTTTTTAAATTGCATAAACTATATATATATATATTTTCTCTTTTACTTGACTTCAGCTCCTAAAGTAAGCATCTAGCTTGATAAATACAAAGTCAACTAAACCACTACACACGGATAGAATGGTCAAAATCCGAAACACTGACAATACCAAATGTTGCTGAGGATATGGACCAATAACCCTCTCTCATTGCTGGTGGGGATACAAAATGCGACAGCACTTTTTTTTTTTTTTTTTTGAGACAGAGTCTCACTCTGTTGCCCAGGCTAGAGTGAATGCCGTCATGTCAGCCTAGCTCACAGCAACCTCCAACTCCTGGGCTCAAGCAATGAGTAGCTGGGACTACAGGCATGCGCCACCATGCCCGGCTAATTTTTTCTATATATTTTTAGTTGCAGACTTTTTTTTTTTAAAGCCTTATATTTTTTGTGGAAATGAGCTCAGTGTAGCGTTGTGGGGTTTTTTTGTTTGTTTTTTTAAAGCAAGGTACAGATAGTGCTGGGATTGTTATAAATAGGGGCCTGGCGCAGTGGCTCCCGCCTGTAATCCTTTTTTTTTTTTTTTTTTTTTTTTTTTGAGACAGAGTCTCACTTTGTTGCCCAGGCTAGAGTGAGTGCCGTGGCGTCAGCCTGGCTCACAGCAACCTCAATCTCCGGGGCTCAGCGATCCTCCTGCCTCAGCCTCCCGAGTAGCTGGGACTACAGGCATGCGCCACCATGCCCGGCTAATTTTTTGTATATATATTTTTAGTTGGTCAATTAATTTATTTCTATTTTTGGTAGAGACGGGGTCTCGCTCAGGCTGGTTTCGAACTCCTGACCTTGAGCAATCCGCCCGCCTCGGCCTCCCAAAGTGCTAGGATTACAGGCGTGAGCCACCGCGCCCGGCCTCCGCCTGTAATCCTAGCACTCTGGGAAGCCAAGGCGGGCAGATTGCTCGAGGTCAGGAGTTCGAAACCAGCCTGAGCAAGAGCGGGACCCCGTCTCTACTATAAATAGAAAGAAATTAATTGGCCAACTAATATATATAGAGAAAAAATTAGCCGGGCATAGTGGTGCATGCCTGTAGTCCCAGCTACTTGGGAGGCTGAGGCAGAAGGATTGCTTGAGCCCAGGAGTCTGAGGTTGCTGTGAGCTAGGCTGACGTCACGGCACTCACTCTAGCCTGGGCAACAAGCGAGACTCTGTCTCAAAAAAAAAAAAAAAAAAAAAAAGAAATAGGATTTAGTGGCCGGCGTGGTGGCTCACACCTGTAATCCTAGCACTCTGGGAGGCCGAGGCAGGTGGATTGCTTGAGCTCAGAAGTTCAAGACCAGCCTGGACAACATAGCAAGCCCGGGCTCAAAAAAAAAAAAGAAAAAGCTTTAAGGAAAATAAAGGATTATAGGACCCTGGTGGGAGATGGGAGGGGGTTGGAATTTTAGGGAAAGTGGTCAAGGGAACCTCTCTTATGGGAAACATTTGAGCAGATCCCTGTGAAAAGAGAACAGAGCCATGGGCTATTTGGGGAAAAGCAGTGTAGACCACGGAACTCCACGAGTGGGCTCACTGCTCGTTTTTTTGTGTCTTTCACAGCTCGCAGCAGGGGCCGGGAATGAGAACAAAGTGTGGAAAAGTGCTCAGGAACTAAAGAAACCGGTGTCAGACTGTACCTCAGCCCTCAGCACCTAGGGGACACCACGCAGGACCAGCCCAGGCCCGGGTCTGACCGGGGTCCTCACAAACCGTCGGAGGCACGAGATTCTAAGGCGGTTTGGAATCGCTCTGAGCTCAGACTTCCCGCCCTTTAGACGCGGCACCGCCCCACCCCGCAACCGCCTCCTCCCCGCGCCCCAGACGCCCACCAGACCCCGCCCAGCCACAGGCCCCGCCCATCGTGACCACGCCCAGGTCCCGCCCCCTTGTGGCCCCGCCCCACGCGCTAATGAAGGAGCTGAGCGCCGACGATTGGTCTGAAAGTCGGAGGCCTCGTTTTCTGATTGGTCGTCTTGAGCGCCAGTTTCTCCCCGCGCGGATGACCCGGAAGTAGCTCCGGGAACCGGAGTTCCGCGTGGATTCGCCTCCCGGGGCGGCTCGGCTTCGCGCGGCCGCCGCGATGACCAAGATAAAGGCCGACCCGGACGGGCCGGAGGCGCCGGCGGAGGCGTGCTGCGGGGAGCGCACCTACCACGAGCTGCTGGTCAACCTGAACCCCATCGCGCAGCCGCTGGCGTCCCGCCGCCTCACGCGCAAGCTCTACAAGTGCATCAAGAAGGGTGCGGCGGGCTCCGCGAGGGCCGGGCAGGCGCGCGGGGGGCAGGGCGGAGCCCCCCACTGACCCTTCCGTCCTCTGTCCTCCAGCCGTGAAGCAGAAGCAGATTCGGCGCGGGGTGAAGGAGGTGCAGAAGTTTGTCAACAAGGGCGAGAAAGGGTAAGCACCCTCCGGACTTTGCATTTCACAGCGAGGAAGGGATCCCTGCTGTTTAGTCGGTGCTCGGGAAGAGTCAGGTCCACTCCGACCCAGCCCCATACACACAGGACAGTCAAGCGGTGGGTGAGGTCCCTTCGGCACAGAGACCCACACACCACGTGCACGCGCTCAAAGGCAGTTCCACAGGGCAGCGAACTGTGCAAGCCAGCGCGCTCAGGGTAGACTCCGGCTTCCATTCGTCCAGCGACCGTTTATTAAGAGTCTGCTAATTTCCAGGCACTGTGTCATGCCAGGACAGGGACATTGATCAGATAATCACACGCAAATAATTACAAGTTGTGATAGTTAGCCTTGAGGAGCAATAGTTATGACTTCATTTCCCTACTTCTTTCCCTAATGGCATTTATCGTAATCCAAAGCTTATTTACATTTTTATTCCGTGTATCATCCACTCGGGCTAGAGGAAGCTCCTTGGGAACTCGGCTTCTGGGATGCCGCATCCCCAGAAGAGTCTGGTACATACTGTAGATGCCCAAGAGATAATCGTGGGGGGATTTGATGGTCAGTGCAGCCTGACCTAGTTAGGGGGTGCATCAGGTAAAGTTTCCCTGGGCAGCCTCACTGGAGCTGGGATCTGAAGACAGGAATCAGTAAGGGAGTGGGGGGAATCCTGCCAGAAGAGTGGGTGGGCCCCAGGGCAGGAGAGAGGGCTGTGGTGGGCAGAGGAGCTGCCTTCTCATGGAGCCTAAACCATGGCAAGTTTAGTTGTACTCAGAGCTTTGAGAGGCCATTGAGGGTTAAAGCCAGGAAGTGACGTGTTGATTATGTTTAAAACTTTAAGATTTGGCGATTGAGGAAAGGATTAGAGAGGCAAGAGTGACGTGGGAAAATTCAGATGGGAGGCCTCTGTAGTACGAAGAGGACGAGGTGATGGTGGAGATAGAATTAAAGCAGGTGGGTCGAAGAGGATCAGATTTGGAGGAGGAGGTATGCATGGCTTCTGGCATGCTTAGCCGAATGGACAGACGGCCCACTGTGAGGCTGTGAGCAGTGGAGGAGGACCACGTGTGTGTGGAGAGATCACAGGTTGGTTTTAGACTCGTCTTTGAGGTGCCTGGGAGACAACTCCCTGCTCCAGCAGAACTGGCAGATAGGAAGATGGCTACATGGGTTTGGAGCTTGGAAGAGAGGGCAAGGCTATAGAGCAGATTTGGGAGCTGTCAGCACATATGTGGCACTTGACACCATGGGGGTGCGCCAGGAAGGAGGCGCTGAGGGGGAAGGAAGCCCAGGATCAGCGGTGAGAGCACCAACAGTTTAAACTGATAAGAACAGATACTACACTTGATCTTAGCCAAAAGGCCGAGAAGCGATAACACCAACAGTTTAAACGCTACTCAGAGGAAGGGAAGGCTGCAGAAGGGAGTCTAGAGGCTAAAGGAGCACTGGGAGTGAGGCAGCAGCATTTTGACGAGGGTTCTTTGTGTCTTCAGGCTCGTGAGGCCTGCCCCAGATCCCTGACACCTTGCCAGCCAGGAGCCCTAGCTGAGGCTTCTCTGGCAAGCTTTCACTGGTTCCTTGCCACTCCTGGGACAGCCCACACTTCTTAGCCTGGTTCTCAAAGCCATCGGATGTGTCCCCTGCCAGTCTCACCAGCTTTATTGTCTGCCCCCTCCCTGTCCTGGCTCCAGAGCTAGCCCCTCCACGGGCTGCCTCACAGACGTTCACCATCCAGCTCTCAGTTCGAGTGTCGGCTCCTGCTTGAAGCCTTTCTGACCCCCAGCAGAGCTGAGCTCTTCCTCCTTGGCATCTCTCCCATCCCTCCTCTATCCCAGCACTATACCACTTGTCACACTTGGTGGCATTTACATGTTGTCAAGAAATAGAGATCACATCCTCAGAAGAATGCACTCCATCAAACATAATCTTGTGCCCCCTTTAGAGGCAGACCCGCATGAATAACTGGGCTCCTTGAGGGTGGGGCGTCTTATTCAAGGCCCGGCCCAGAGGTGGTCCTTACGACTGGAAGGAGGAAGGACAGTGCTAGGAATGACAGCGATGCATCTCATTTCAGGATCATGGTTTTGGCAGGAGACACACTGCCCATAGAGGTGTACTGCCATCTCCCAGTCATGTGTGAGGACCGCAACTTGCCCTATATCTACATCCCCTCTAAGACGGTGAGGAGCACGTGGCCCCAACCTTGGTGGACGCTGGGGAGGGGTCTGGGATGTGGTCTGTGGCAGCAGGCCAGTGGGAAAGAACACAAATGCCGGGGTTAAGACAGGCTCCAGGCCGGGCGTGGTGGCTCACACCTGTAATCCTAGCACTCTGGGATCGTTTGAGGTCAGGAGTTCGAAACCAGCCTGAGCGAGACCCCGTCTCTACTAAAAAAAAAAAAAAAAAAGAAAGAAATTAATTGACCAACTAAAAATATATATACAAAAAATTAGCCCGGCATGGTGGCACATGCCCTGTAGTCCCAGCTACGTGGGAGGCTGAGGCAGGAGGATTGCTTGAGCCCAGGAGTTTGAGGTTGCTGTGAGCTAGGCTGATGCCACGGCACTCACTCTAGCCTGGGCAACAAAGCGAGACTCTGTCTCAAAAAAAAAAAAAAAAAGACAGGCTCCAGTATTTAATAGTTGTGGGATTTACAGAAGTTCTCTCTCTACAATTTGGCTTCCTTCTTGTAAAATGGAGATCCTTTCCTCTGTGGACTTTAGAATGAGATAGAAGCTGTGCTTGAACATGCTTTGTAAACTACCGTGCTTCACTTGTGTTAGCCCTGTTAGGTGGTTTCACGCTCCAGGGACCTATAGCTGTCCTTATCTTTATACAGCAGGGGCCAGGCCTGGATCACAGGGAGTGGGGGATGGCGGGGACCTGGAGACCACAGGCCTCCTGCTGGGCTGGAGCCCTTTCATAGTAGCCATGTGGAAATGTAGGCCCAATGTTGCTGTGCCATGGCTTGGAAGTGTGCTTGAATTTAAAGGATAGCAGCTAATTCAAAGTGTTTTTAAATATAATGTGGACCCAAGAGAATGTGGCTGTGGGCCAGTTTAGGCTGCTGCTGGGTCATCAGTTTGTGACTCCCGGGCACACAGGTTGTGTGGCCTTTTTCTCCGAACAGCCCTTCTTTCCCCTTCTCCTCTGAAGGACCTGGGTGCAGCCGCAGGCTCCAAGCGCCCCACCTGCGTGATAATGGTGAAGCCCCACGAGGAATACCAGGAGGCCTACGACGAGTGCCTGGAGGAAGTGCGGGCCCTGCCCCCACCGCTGTGAAGGACTTGGGCAGCACCCTGGGCACCTGCTCTGGAAGCTGCTGGGCTGGTGGCGGGCCAACTGGCTGCCCTCCCGCCACCCACACTGGCAGCTTCTTCCTGTCTCCCCGAGGCACGCCGTCTTCTCAGGCAGCTCCAGCAGCTCTTCTCCGTCCCTGCTGCTTCCTGTTGAGCTGAAGTGACTGGTTCCAAGAATGCAGAGCGGGGAAGTAAATGCTATGTCTAAACTGTAGTGAGTCCATGGGTGTTTTTTAAGCAGCAGCTGCTGGTGGGGCAAGGAACTGGCAAGCAGGAAGAGTGGAAGCAGGCTTTCTCAACGGGAGAGCCCGAAGCACTTCGAGTGCTCAGCACCAGTGCTCTGCTGCTCACCCCGGGGCTCTCAGTTCCCCTCCTGAGGGTCGGTTTCCTCGGGTCAGGGCCACTTCCATTCCTTTCTTCTTCCTCCAGGAGCCTTAAACGGCACCGTGAAGCTTATGGAAGCAGTTTACCCACCCACACAATAAATTTTAAATAGGAACATGAAGCTAAAAAGGAGCCCCCAGGCCAGGCCTAACACAATGGCCCTAGTAACCAAATCCTTTCAAACATTTTACACCTGGGGTCCCTTCCTGTTGTCAAAGGCCCCAGATAATACTTAGGACACATAGCAACCAAGCTTTAGGCACCCTGGAATAAACTGGAAAGGGCTTGGGCTTGATCTGGTTTAAATTCCAAGCTCTCTCCTTTCCAAGCTGTGAGCCCTGTTGTGTGAGGCATTTCATCTTCCTCAGTTCCCATATGGATTTCTACCGTGTATGTAAAAAAGTACCTTGCCTGGGGTCTGACATCTTTTGAGGTTCCCTCCCCAATCAGAGGTGCAAGTTTGGTTTTTCTGCCTGGGTATCGCCGGCCAGCCACATCCTTACCTGCAGCCACTGCCGGGCCGCGCCCAGCACCTGTGTGCGGTGGGTGTGTAGTGATGATTCCTCAGTGAGGCTAGGGGCTGCTAGAAGTGAGGAGAAGGGCAGTGAATATATTCGCTCAACGCTATAAAACAATGGCACTCAGTTCTAACTTTGACTTTTTACAGTGGGAAATGGATACATACAGTTGGGCTGTACAGCGGAGGAGGCGGCCACAGCTGGACGCCCTTGGGCTGGGGGCAAGAATGGACAAGTGCTGGCATAGCAGTAGGAGACAGTGCTGAGGGCAGGCATGGAGAGATGTCTGCTGCTGAAGGCCAAGTCCTTTGCTACTCTGTCAGTTCCTTTAGTCAAGGGAAATAAAAACAGGAAGAGACACAGCAGGAGCACAGAGGCCAACGTCTTCCTTTCCTTACGGCCAAGGAGCCAACTGCCAGGTGTGGGCTGGTTCATCTCTCTCCTCAGGCTCTGCCAAAGGGCTGCTCTGGCTCTCCCTTGGTAGCACTCCTCAGCCAGGCGCTCTGAAACAAACCAGAGTCCACTGGAGCCACCGCCCTACTGAGACAGACCGAGGCTCGTGGGTGAAAAACCCCTTTTAACAAAGTTCCAGGCAGGAGTCAGAATATGATGCGTTTCCCATCTGCTGGGTTTTGCTCCATGGGACAGTAGGGACACTTCAGCCTGCAAAGGGAGGAGAACCAAGAACGTCTCAGGGCTGGCGGCAGGAGAGCCCAGCCAAGATGCAACAGAGCATAGGGAACTTACTTTCCTCCGTTAATGAGCTTGTTCAGTGCGTCTCTGGAGATGACATGGCCGCAGATGAGCTTGATGGGAGGGTTGGAATCCGACGTCTGCTGGCGCAGGATGGGGCAAGCAAACACCGAGTGGTACCAGCACTTCATGCCTAGCTCGATCTCGATCTGGGAGGCCGGCAAAGGGGTCAGCTCCACTTCGTGTCATGGCCGTCCTCCCCGGTGTCTCTGGCCCACACTCCCCCTCCAGGCCTTACCGGTAACTCATCCTTGTGACTCCAGACCCCGGTGCACTGCCTCTGCTCGATCACAGCTTTGATGTTCATCAGCACGGGCAGTGCCACGCAGCCAGAGGCAAAACTGCAGAAGGAAGAACGGGCTGAAATGGCTCCCATCACAGCATGGGACTCAGATGGGCTCTAATGCACAAAAGGTCAAATCGGTCCTCGAAAATCCCTCGGGTTGTTCATAAGGTGCCATGTGTGTATGTCCAACTCGAGAGGGTCATTCTAACACACTCCTAAATTGGAGAACTTACGGGAAAGACAAGGGACGCTCCAGGGGCAGATATCTGCTCACCCAAACTACTGAAAGTCCTTGGTGTGACTGGGAGACAGTGATCGGTTCTAAAGGGCTCCAGCCCACCTGTAGGATCTACCTTGCTGTTGTCATAATACACCTCTGTAACAGCGGCTATCAGCTACGACACTTCAAAATGGGGGAGGGCTGGGCATGGTGGCTCTTGTCCATAATCCCAGCACTTTGGGAACAAGAAAGTGAGATCCTATTTCAAAAACAACAACAAAAACCTAATTGATTACAACCAGTTATAGATTTATAGATTCCTTTGTCCCTTCTCCACTCCCACTGCTTCACTTGTCCAGCCTTTATAAATAAATAGACAGATCGACAGAGGGGGAGGTCAGTTCCCATGAGGGTGGGGAGCCGACTGGTGGAACTCGGAGGCTAAACGCTCTGCCGTGCACGGGGCTGGCCTGCACAGCAGAGCCATCTGGAGTGCTGATGGTGTTCTTGCTGGGAAATACCATTCCACAGCTCGGTGACAGATAAGATTGGAGATAGTCCACCGTATTGGGGTGGAATGTGAGACGCCATGCCCAGCCTGAGTAAAATGCACTGTGACAACTTCACCGTGGCGGAGTGTGTGGCTGTGGGGTCAGGACCGCGTGCCCTTTGTTCCTGAGGTCCAAGGCAAGTGAGTTCACATCCTGAACCTCCATTTCCTCTTCTATAAAGTGAGGATACCAGTTCCCCTGACTCCCCAGGGTGCTGTGAAGCTGTCAGAGACCGTGCCTGCGAGGGAGAGGGCCAGGCGACAGAGCTAAAGCCATGGCACTCAGGCCACACGTCTCCCGCGAAGGGAATGGCGTCTGGGAGACAAGCCTGGGGAAGGTGGACTGCAGAGGGGCATGGGTTGGTTGGGAAGGTCTTGCAGGGATCGGGGGTGACATACAGGAGAGGCAGGGACCTCATTAAAGAGACCTCACAAAATGGCAACTTTGGCCCTGCCACTGACTGCATGGTGACCTGGGTCTACGACTCTTCCTAACTGCAGTTTCTTTAACTGTAGAAACAGGTACTTCTGGCCGGGCACAGTGGCTCACACCTATAACCCTGGCACTCTGGGAGGCTGAGGCAGGAGAATCACTTAGGCTCAAAAGTTCGAGACCAGCCTGAGCAAGAGCAAGATCCCATCTCTACTAAAAACAGAAAAAATTAGCTGGCCATGGTGGCACACACATGGCCTATAGTCCCAGCTACTTGGAAGGCTGAGGCAGCAGGATCGCTTGAGCCCAGGAATTGGAGGTTGCTGTGAGCCAGGCTAACACCACAGCACTCTAGCCCGGGCAACACAGACTCTGTCTCAGAAGAAAAAAGGAACAGGTACTTCCTCCTTCCTCTTCTGAAGAATAGGTAACAGTTTAGGTCCGAGAAAGCACTGAGCACAGTCCCTGGTATGTGGTGGGGCCTTGGCAACAGGATGTCTCCCTCTCTACCCCCCACCGTGCTGCCCGCATGGGGCTGGGTTGTACCTGACGCTGAGGGGGGACTCCACAGAAAGCCCCAGCAGGGAACATGCATCCCGGGTAAAGGTTTCACAGATCTCTGCCCAGTGGCTGTTGTCCAGGAGGTGGCAGTAGGGTGACTTCTCTAAGCCCAGCCGCAGGTACACCAGACTGCCCATCATCACCTGGATCTCTACAAGGCAACCGGGTGGCAGCTCAGGGGGTGCAGGGGCTCTGGGTCCATCCCCAAGGGGACAGCAGGACTGCAAAGCACAGTGTTGTCAGCTGGGCTGAGCCCCAGGCCCCTGGCCACATGGAGCAGCCATTGAAATGCCCTCAGGCAAAACTGACTGTCTAAAATCCAGTGGGGAGGTAGAGTACCCAGGCTGCTTCTGTAGGACAAGGATAGGCATTACCACACAGAACTGGCCAGCAAGGTGAGTCTTTTCTGTTTGCTTTGCATCCTTCCAACTGCATCAAGGAGCAAGTGTGACAGGCTAGTGCTGACGTCTCCCTGTCCTCCCACACCAGCTAATCTCCCCTTCAGAGCAGATCCCAGGTTCAGAGCTTTTAGGAGGCAACAGTATCTAGTTAAACCTTAAAAACACTGCTTGGTTTTCATATTTATTTTTAAATAAAGTCAGAACAAGAAAGAATATGGGGCCGGGCGTGGTGGCTCACGCCTGCAATCCTAGCACTCTGGGAGGCTGAGGCAGGCGGATTGCTTGAGGTCAGGAGTTCAAAAACAGCCCGAGCAAGAGCGGAAACCCCGTCTCTACTACGAATAGAAAGAAATTAATTGGCCAACTAATATATATACAGAAAAAATTAGCCAGGCATGGTGGCGCATGCCTGTAGTCCCAGCTACTAGGGAGGCTGAGGCAGGAGGATCGCTTGAGCCCAGGAGTTTGAGGTTGCTGTGAGCTAGGCTGACGCCACGGCACTCACTCTAGCCTGGGCAACAAAGCAAGACTCTCTCAAAAAAACCAGAAAGAATATGGGTTACTACTGGTGAACATCTTGAGGGTGAGACTCAAATTACAGGTCTGGAAATCCTCGAGTGAAGGAAGAGGCCAAGGAAGGATGCTCCAGAGGTGCCCAGGTGAGTCTTAACATGAGCAGAGGGAGGTGGGAGGTGTGTGCGAGCAGAGCAGCGTGAGTGGCACAGCACGTGGGAGTGTGGGTGGCACACGGCAGGCGCTAGGGCCCCACGGTGGCCTGAGGTTGAGCTAAAAACGTGTGGCCGAGATGAAAGAGGAAGAGCCTTGAGTCTGGTGGCACTTGGGACACAGTGTGGGATCACAGAGGTGTTCAGGTTGGGAATAGGCATCAGAGCCACAGCCCCACATGGGCACAGAGACTAGCCACCTGATGTACCTGCCACGTCCAGACATCTGTCCGCCAAGCAGCACCCCGGGCACTCACCCCGTTGGTGCAGCCGAGCAAAGGGCTGAAAGTGCCGGGCATAGCTGAGAGCTTCCAGCTGCTTCTCAGGGCCACCGGCCAGGAGGCGGATGAAGTGCAGTCGGTGCAGCTTGAACTCCAGGGAGC